AGCCCCGGTAAACCTCATTCCATGAGGAATAACGGGGCTGCCGACAAAGGGCTTTGATGTCGACAGGGGAGCGTCCAGACCAGCTGTTTGTCGGCTCAGCGCGCTAATCAGCTGTTTGTCGGCTCAGTGCAGCAGCCGTGTAAATTTAAATGAAGCCGCGATCATTTAAATCGCGGCTTCATTTGACTTTGCCTATGTGTCTAATCTACATGCCTCTGCCGACAGAGGCATGTAGTCTAGACACAGCCTCAGTGTTTTGTGCTGTTATTTAGCTCTGATTTAGCCCTTACTGTCTTCTAAGAGCCCAGCAAGCAATGGAAGTGTTGGTCATGCTTCTAGAGAATACTGACTTCCCATCATTTGCCAGATTCTCTGGTTCAGCACCGGTAAGGTCCCAAGGGTGCCAGACTAGAGGGGTTCAACCTGTACCAGAGTTCCTAGAACGGCAAAAATATGTCTACACATTCCCAGAAAGGCAGCAATTAAGTAACAAGCAGCTCTGAAAATTGGGCTCCTTATTACGGATGCAAATACGAATTTAGGTGGCTGATTTTAGACACCCACATTTGAATATTGTGGCTTTCACCTCTCTCTCTATGGCTATGTCTACACTGGCCAGTCTTGCACAAGAACATATGCAAATGACATGCGGTGATGAATATCGCCGCATCTCATTTGCATACTTAATGAACTGTCTATACTGCTCCTCCTTGTGCAAAAAACCCCTCTTGCGCAGGAGCCGTTCTGTTGCTTATTTTCAGGCAGAACAGCTCTTGCACAAGAGGGAGTTTTTATGCAAGAAGGAGCAGCGTAGACTGATCCCTCTTGCGCAAAGGCCTCTTGCGCAAAATGGTGGCTCATTAATTATGCATATGAGGTACGGCAATATTTATTGCTGCGCCTCATTTGCATACGTTCTTGTGCAAAACTGGCCAGTGTAGCTGTAGCCTTTCAGTTTCCAAGTCTGCAAAATGAGGACAGTAATGTTGACTCTTCTTTGCAAAGCACTTTGAGAGCTACAGATGAAAAGCCCCAGGCATGTGCTAGGTGTTACTAGCATATGTGTGATTGCAGCCAGTAGAGATTTTAATTTATCCCAAAGGAGACTCTGCGTCTGTAATTAACGCTACTGACTTCTAGTCATGCCAGGTTTGATCCATGCTGCATAGCTTCCAGGTTAGCTGGTGACTGCTGTGTTCAGCTACCATTTGTTATGAACGTCATATCTGATTGAGGCGCTTATCTGGCCCCTATTCCCAGAGTAGAGAGGAACACCTCACAATCTAGAACGTGTTGATCCTCACAACATCCGTGTGAATTAGAGAAGTGCTATTATCCCCATTTTACAGATGGGAAACTGAGGCAGAGGGAGAGGCAAAAATGTCAAAAGTGCCTAAATCCCATTTTCTAAAGTGACTTAGGAGCAGATAGATATCTAGACATCCTGCCTGCTTCGGTGCTTTTGAAAATCCCACTAAGTTCCTATTCGCGTCTTTAGTTGCCTATACAAGTACTAAATACTATTATTAAATACCTATGAGAAATTGGGCCCTAAATCGCTTTGGAAAAGGAGATGTAGTCTCCTAAATGCCAGTGTCACTTTGGAAGTTTTCCCCATAGACCCTTTTTAAGGTCATGCAGGAAGTCAAACAAGACAGGAAATCAACCTGGGGCTGGCGGGGG